ATTCGAAAATAGGCACAAAAATGGAAAATTTATCTAAATCTATTTTAAAGCGTGGTAGTTTTTATTACACTACGTAGACGCAAAAATCCCTAATAATGAGAACCTGAGGAATCCTGATGAATCGCGTCCTGAAATCCTTTTTCCACATGAATTGCGTCCCGGGTTTTCTAAACGACTACACGAATTGCACTCCAAAGTAAAAACATTAATTTCCTTCCCATTTTATACAGACTTAGAACTGTCAGTAGCAAATTATTACCAAGGGTAGGTTAAAAATGTCGTTTTATATCGTTGTTATGCAATCGGAAGTACCTATACCAATTAAATTATATTAAAAAATTAAAAGATTAAATTTAGATTCAATAAATTATAAGACTGGTGAAAACTCGAACGATATATTTTTAGTAAAATCGAGAAGGGCTAATTGGCCATTTTCATATTTCTCGTCTAGTCGTTTACTCGAAACCGGACGCGTTTCGTGTACATAATTATGGTTTTTTTTATTTCGGGATACGGTTCGTGTGCAGCCGAGTGACCATAATATTGCACGGTCTTTAATACCAAGTACCTGGGAGTGACTTTAGATAAAAAAAACTAACCCGAAACCTTCAGACATCTTCCTAGGTGCAACAAGAATACCGATAAAATACTATATCTATTAGTTAATCGTCAAACTCCACTGGTGAAAGTCGAACAAAACGATAAACTAATTTATTCCTAAATTTGCAGAGTCACAATCATAGTCATCCGGAACTTATTAATTTCGGTTTCGATTTTGGTCCCGAGACTATTTTCCTCCATTGTTCATTTTCCACAAAAAAAAATAAAAAAATAAAATTCATCTTTGATCTACAAATAAATATAATTTTTCTTCACTGTTCATTTTCCTCGATAACTATTTTTCAAAGGTCATTTATCTGCGTACTAACATTTTGAAAATAAAACAATGAATATTTCTAATCGTCATTACTGCTGTAATAGTACAGTATAAACATTTTCTACAATTCTCTCGACGGGCGGGTCGCTGAGTAAATTACATTTTTTTATAAGCTTTAAAATTTATGTCGGTATTGGCTTATGCAATACAAAATAATAATCAAATGTATATTATTTTAAACAAAATCAACTAAATATAAATCAAATTAAGTTATATATTTTTTTTATTTATAACAGAAAAACAATGTATATCCGATATGAATTTAATTCATAAAAATCAACTACAATAATAATAAATAAAAATTGGTGTTTTTTTTTCCATGAAAATTAAGCGCAAACAAGCATTCGTGTCAGTTTATTAATCGTTAATTCGAAAGCAGTAATTATTTAATTTGGAAACGGGTGGTATAGAAGTATATATGGTATATATGGTGACCGGTAAGCGGAGGAAAACGAATAATCAATAAGCGCGTCTACGATATTTGGAGGAAAACGGTAGAAAAACGGATAAAAACAACTTTGACCACGGTCTCGAGATGTCGAACAACGATCACCGTCGGTTTATCTCCTCCGTCAGTCGCATGAACCGACAGTGATACCGGTCGCGGTCGTGGCTCGCTGGTAATGAAGAATCGGTGGCGGCTTCGGACACCATATGGTCACCGGCAACCGCGGTACTGGTTCGCGAACTAATCGCCGGGCGGTGGTAACGATTCGCCGTAGTCGGCGAATCATCGGGCTGGCCCTGGCGGTCGTCGTCGTTCACCGGAGACGGACACCGGTGCGGTGGCCGCGTCCTCACGCGATCGGTGCACGGCCAGGTGCGAACGAAATGGTGGTCGCGGCCGGGCTGGCGCAAGGGATGCAGTGACTCGACGGCGGTGCCGGTTGGCAGTCGTTACGAGCGACCGACTTGTCCGATCACACTCCGGCTAATAAACTCGATGGCTCGTGCGGATGAAAACGGATCTAAAGTGTTATCATTTCGATTCCAATCCCTGGGATGTATTGGAAATATGCTTAAGTGACGAGACTTAACACTCGCGAAGATTGTTGACATTTCGGCCGATATCATTATTGCCGACACTATGGTCAGGGTTTTACCCTGCGTGTCTGCACGATTCGGCGGATCTGTGCGTCAACGTCACGAGATCGGCACCGGGACACGTAGTTTAACACCGCGGCATATTACGTTGCCTCAATCGCCATTGGTTCGGTTGAGTTTTCGCGACACGGGCGTCGTTTGTCTACGTAAGACGAACAGCGATACGGACGCAGCAAGAAGGATACACCACGACGGTTAGATTACAATATTATATCCGTAACGCACAAGGGAAAAACCTCTAAGAGTTTAAAGCCCAAAGCTTGAGTCGGTAAAATATAAATACGTATGTACATCAATCTTTAATAATTTTTGGTTTCCTTCTTCGATTTATGTTTTCGAAAAAATCGTAAAAAAAGGACGGTGTGCTAGAGAAAGAATTGGGTGGGTAGTTACTGAAATGCTTGTTGTGCATCATGATTTATAAATGTTCACCGCGCCATTGCATATGCCATGCACGAAACGAGACAAGTCATTTGCGGCCGATCTCCAAGTGTAAATAACGTAAATAACGAAAGCGAACATTTCGACGCTGCAGTCCATTCGCAACGAATCCTCACGTGCACGCCATTTCGCTTTGTGTATACTCGTTCCGTTCTAAATGAATAACGGTTGTTAATATCACAAGTTTAACAGTTTAACACGAGATTCTTTACGTTGCTTGTCATCCGCAAGACAGTCAGTGTGTGGATTAAAACTGAAGTCTTAAATCACTTATCAATATTTAGTTTATTCCTATATTTATATATATATATAAAAAAAAAAAAAAAAAGGTGGTAAAAGCTCGCTCACATAGTTAGGTTGTCGAAAATCCCATCAAGTTTCTTAACGCGATTTTGGAAATCACTGTACAGTTATGTTAATATAACTAATAATAATATTATCCAATAAAAATGTACGAAAAATATTATCTTAATCAAAAATAGTCACTGTTAACACATCTACTGCAAACACAACACCTTCGACTACGCTCGGAAACTCAATTTCCAAATTTTCTCGATGATTTTAAAACTATAAATATTTCATTACTACTCCTGTTAATATATTAACAAAAACTAATAATAATAATAACTGCTATAGCAGTTTTAAAAAATTTGTTCCTGTCCCCTGTTTCTATATCTTTTCCTAAAAATCAAATTATTAAATAGTTCAATAATTATTAATTACTCCCCTATTTTCGACATCCCTAACAAATAAAAAACATCATTATTCTTTTACGTTCGTTTTAAATAAATTTCATTCGACCAATTACATACTCTATTAATATTAACATCTTTCTGATTACGATAGCATATTATTATTTTTATTTAATATTACTGTTATTTTCAATGTGTAGCATTACGTTAAGAAATAGTTTTTAATTTTGTACTGTTTTTGTAATTAATTAAGCTATTGAATATAAATCAGCAATTGGTGATCTATAATAGTTCCTATTGAAAGCTTTTATATAAAAATTTAAAAAAATAAAAATATCGACATTAGTCATGACCAGGGCTAGGGTTTGAATATAAAAAAAAAGTTGTAAAATATGCATTTTATTTACCAAAATAGATTGACTGATTGTCTTATTACCATATAATTGAGATTACATTTTTTTTTAATTTGCCTTTGTTCGCACATTATAGCAAAACGATTACATAGACAAAAATAACAGTGGTGTTAATTAGTAAATAATAATAAAAATAACAATTATACTAATAATGATAAATATAGGAACAAATTTAATTAAATTAAGAAGCCAGCAGAATAAATTAAATTGATAATGGAGTGGATGACAGGTATGGAACGAGAGTTAAGTAGAAGGTTGGCGTCGGGAGTGATATAACCAAAATAAGATAGGAAAGAGAAAAGGAGAAGTCGGTTGGGAAGGAGAGAAAGACATTGAAAGAGGATATGATTAAAGTCGTAGACGGTGTCAACGTGATGTCGCGTACAAAGAGGAGAAAAGTTTAGAGAAATCTTAAAGGTGGTGGTATGGTAGGAAAGAGATTAAAAATTAAAGATTATTTATTTATTTTTAGCATGAATATATATATATATTAATTAATATTTTAAAAATAAAATGTACAATTCACATTCAATAGTGGAAATACGTATGTTACATTTTACAACCACATATTGTTTTAAATTATGGTCGAATATAAATAATTGGCGATTGGATTCTAGTATTGATTTATATTGACCGACGCTTCTTTCAATGGCATATGATGTATTTGTGCGCATATTTAAATAAAGAAATTTGATCAGGTGTTATATTACAACTGAAAATTTTTTTGTCCAATTCGCCATTTAATATTATATGTATTCATTGTAAAGCTTTAAATCCTTTAAAATTGTGTGTAATACATTTAAATCCGACAAATTATTTAATCTATATCTAATCTAGAATTTTATAATCATATCATCATATTTTTATTAATCGTTATTAATTTAAATTTTAAATTTGTTATTTATTGTTATTATTTTTATTAATTATCTTCAATGTTTAATATACTTTATCCGTCTAACTATTCAAACTTTTATCCCAAACTGTATCGTAGGATTGTAATCATATTTTTAAAATTTATGTTTGACAAAGAAATCAAGTTATATACTTTGATCAGTTTAATTATTATGGGTTCAAATACAATAAAAACGATCATACTAAATATGCAAAAATATGCAAAATAAAAATAGTACCATTTTCATCAGAATAATATAAATTGTACGTCGTTTAGGCACTTGTGATCCGTTGCGCTTTGGAGTTTCATGATATCGATCAGTGGCCACTTCAAAATTTATTTGAAAACACAATACTTCCTGTTTCAATTCTATGAACACTGGCGTCATGTTGACTAAATTATTTGAAACAACAATTTATTAATTTTTATTTTTATTTTTCGTAAAACGCGGGTTTTTTAAACATTGAACAAAGACTGACTCTTTTAAACATCGTAAAAAGCTACACAACACTACGGCGACGTCAATAATTTTTTGCGCAGCTCGTGGAAATTCTGTCAAAAAATGTCAACGGTTTACGGTCCAACCTTCTCGTGCAACACTTCTTCCGATCACCATTATCGTGACAGGCTGCTCTGCACGAGTCCGCGTACGCGACATTGAAGCGGCACCGGCGTACGCTGTCGCTGTTACGCTCGTCGGACCTGGCCTCGACCACGGGAATGCACGGTTGCCGCGGTCCAAAGTCGTAAGTGCGATGGTCGTACTTGGTGTACTCTGCGGCGCTGGAGTCGGGGGCGAGGCCGACGCGTTTTTTGGCTCCGGGAGCGCGGCACGGTGGCCGCGGGGCGTAGCGAACCGGTTGACTAACCGCGGATTTCCGTACCCGGCGTTCCCGGTTACGCAACATCCGCTGCCGCGTTCGCTTGTCTGCCGGCGGCTTGGCCCACGCGACCTCTAGGCGCACACCCGAAAACACATCCCTGGAACAGTTCAGCGCGTCCATGGCCGACTGCGCGTCCTCGCGTCGCTCAAAGTGCACGAACGCGTAGTTCTTCAGGTTCTTCACGCGCTCCACGACCCCGTACCGACCGAACACCATGGTTAGCACGCGCTCGTCCAGCACGCCACCGTACTGCTTGACGAACAGTATGCGCACCGTGGCCATCACGTCCGCGTCCACTTGTGGTTCCGGGTCCGCCCAGTCCACGATTGTCTTGCACCCGAACGCTTTTTGCTTCGACAGTGCCCGCTTGGCGTCCTTAGCCGCGGCCACCGACCCGTAATCCAGGAAGCAGAAGCCCCGATGCATCGACGGGTCGTCGAAGTTCTTGTACGTGATCACACGCACTAGATGACCGCGCGTTATGCGGCTTACTTCGTCGAATATCTCCTTTTCCGTCTTCACCTTCGGCAAGTTTCCCACGAACAGCCTGCATTTTCGGCCGTCGTCCTTGGTGCTCGTAACGCTCTTCGAACGGTTCGTCATCGCAATCCTATCACGTGGCATCATCAACTGTAGTTCTTGAACGTTGTCGACGGTACGACGCGTGCGTGATGGTGTCGCGAATTCCTTGTTTCTTGATCGTTTTTAATTTTTATTCTCTTCCTGTCCACAGTGTTTCCGTTATGTGTTGCCTTGTTAACAACGAACGTTCGATTAATATTTCGTATTTGTTTTACACTCGTTGAAAACACTCGCTATGGGTTACACCGCTATGGGTTTTGTACACATAGCCAGCAGGCTAGTACATAGTAGTAATCCAAAATATAATAATTATTTATTAATTAATTTAAATTACCTATATACATAAATGTAACTTTGATTTTGTATTACTATTTTACTAATTATGCACTAATTAATCATGTGTAGATGAACTATAATATAGTATAATATAATATTAGGTTGAATTTCCTATTTTGACCATGCAATACAAGCGATGGTGGTTATAAAATTATCTGTTAAGTGGTTACTAATAAGACATAATAATAAATAACAGTGTTCGAGGAACTAACGTACACCAATGATCTATTACTACGCACACAGTCACACAGTTCTCCTGCGAGATGTAAAATATTGCCTATATTTAACCCCTTATCAATGGTTCGCTTTCAACAGCCTTAATAAAATTCCATTTGGATGTAGCAAAAAGAATATGCTGTTGCATACAAATTTCAACACTGGTCATGACCAAATTTAGGATGTTGATGCCCTAAGAAAATGCTAAACTGCCCTAAGAATTCTGAAATATAAAAAATATAAAAATCTTAAAAAGTTATCAAAAAATTCTACTCAAATGAGTGAAAAAAATGTAATTTAAAAAAAATTATTTTTATTACAGATACGAGTTTGGCAATGGGTATCAGAGTAATTTAAAATATTAATTGTAATATTAATAGACACAATAGTATACTTTTAGATTTTAAGTATTACTTATACAAAAATGATTAAAAATAAATTAAAAAGTAAAATTTAAATTTAAATAATTATATTAAAAATATTCTAATTGATTTTCATATTGCACGATTGCACTGTATAATTAAAATGTGTCTGATGAAAAATTTCACTAAACATCAATGGGCGTTATGGATGCATACTTGAAGTAGATCATCAGTAGTTAAATCTTCTGGAATATCTTCTATTTGGTAAGCATGTAAAATAGGCATATGTGTGAAAAAGTACTTGTTTTATAATTGTTTAACACGTATACGGTAAATCCAGTGCCGTCGTTAGCGGACAGGCAACTTGAGAAATTGCCTAGGGCCTCGTACATAAAATAATTTCGAAGACCTACAATTACTCAAGTTAGAATAGTTATATATCCTTAGGAGTTAGGAGATTGTATAGCTTTTGTCTTGGGATTCGCTAAAATTTGCGATGACACTGGGTAAACCTTATCGGTAGGCGATATATTTAATCACAACAAAACCCCCCACATAATAATAATAAAATTATTTTCTTGAATATTATTTGAATTTTCTTTAAAATCTAAAATTTAAGAAAAATTTTCTCAACGTTTTAGAAAAGCTACATAAAAAGAATTGAAATATGTAAAAATTATGTAAAAAAAGGAAGTTAGAAAATAAAGAAAACACATTTTTAGCCAAAAATGCCTAAAAAGGTAAAATAAAATTAGTATATTCTAAATTAAGGAACCATGAAACAAACTTTTAGCTAAGATAGCATTGCACAGTATCAAAGGAAACAAAATGGAAAAGTCATCAATATCCCTAACTTTATTCGTGACGGTCCGCGGCCCACGGGGTCGGGCGAGAACCGCTGTCCTGGAAGACAAGATCCATAATAATAATGTCTAGGGATTTTTCGGCATAACACTGGATGTGCAATGAACGCGTCCTTTTTTTTTTTTTTATATAAAAAAAAAAAAAAAAAGCTAAAACATTATTTTGATCATCAAAAAATTATTTATCGCAAAATTGGGGATATTTTGCAAGATATATTATTAGTACACAGTTCAGATGTAATGAAATCGATTAAGTGTAACTATTCAACATTTCTTAAAATTACCCATTTTACCAAAAGAAATATTAACAAAAATATGTTTGCTTAAAATCGTTCGATCACATTTCTATTTTTCAATTTATCCGTCCATTTATTAAAAAAAATTATGTAAAAATGTATTCACAGTAACTTCCGTTTTCTATTTCCGATCTGATAAAATACTACGAGTAACTTTTTGTGCAATTTTAAAATCCGAAAATTAATCGTAATATTTAAATAATGATGACAAAAAAAAAAAACATGACATAGTACGTAACGGTTAGAAGTGAATTGGAAAATAATATTTTAATATTATACGAGTATAGTAATACATACTAATATAGAATCGACAAAATAATAAATATTGAGCATGGATTTAGACTTAATGTAAACTCGTGCATTATCTTTCATAGTTAAAAATAATGGACACGTGTAAGCTAATAGAGACAGTCATGAGAATTTTCATAAAACCGTAGTACCCGAATCGATAGATAAAAATTTAATTCATACTAAATATTTTACTAACCTAGCGAAACCGCGTGAAATATGAATGTCATGTTATTTAATCAGCTAAACACATTTTTGCGGTTTATCTCACAACACTCATTTCAATCGTACGAACAGAATTAATCAAACCAGCTTAGTTTTTGACGCGTGATCTTGCACGCTTCCTTTTTCCTTTTTATCTTTATGCACGTGCGAGTGGAAACGTAACGAGTCTACGTTCCTCCGCGTAATCTATAAGGTATGGTATTTTCGGCCGGTACCGTGTCGTCAGTAGTTGACGTGTTAAACGTAATTTAAACGACTACACAGATCCATTTGACATTGGACGCGATGAGATAGGATTTTTCGAAAACGAACGAAATAAATGTAATTATTCTTATACATTGTGTACGATAACGATTGTGTGTGTCTTTCCAATCTAATTTTTCTTTTCGCGTCGAAACAGTAATTTCTCCGATCTAAAGCAGTAGAATACCTACCGGCAGGAATCGTGGAAATTCAGTTGGTAAACGTTTAATAATTACTCATACCCACTGGTGTGTACACGTGCATTCGTTCGTCTGTTTTGATCCAGACCGGAGGAACAATCGTCCAAACGGATGCGACGCTGATGCAATCGATTGAAGCTCGTACGGGGCAACGCACGCCCAACGGTGAAATCGAATGCATCGGCCAGTGTTGTGTTGCGCGACGTTCTGAATTCTGTACCGAAAACAGAACAGAACTCGATCACCTTGTACGTTAAATGTATGATTACATAAGTATAATGTTTACGAACCTATTACGAGTTGTAACGCATCGATATTGTTTTAGATTGAATTCGGTTTTTTTTTTCTTTTTGTCCTCCCAACGATTCGATGAATTCGATTTCTACTGTATGCTGGCTCATCCCTGTTTAGCCACAGTACACGTTAACCAGAAAAACCCTGAAAACCCACGTGGGTTCATTACCATTCGTTTGTTTTCAATTTTCGCAACAATCGAGACAGGTCGTGTTTCTTATATACATCGTACTTCTATCTTATATGTGTCAATCCAAAGTGTTCGTCACGAGGCGAAAACATATCGTACACCAGTACGTATCCAAAATTTTGATAAACTATTACTAGTAGTCTAGCCGTCTGTCCATGACTCACCAACAAAATAGGATACCCATTGCTCTCAAACTTAAAGATACAATCAACACATAAGTTTTTGAAATGCATACCGAAGAGGTAATGGTAAAAAAATCGTTCCCGTTACACATTTACGATATTAACGACTTTGAAGATTTCCCAGACGAAACCTCACCAATGATAGTTGACAATTTTAACGTCCAAAATAAAAGTATTTGTTTCGAAACTTAACTTGTCAACCAGCAATGACTGTCACAAAATATTTTCAGGGACCAATATCAAATATCACACATATCAACTCGCGGCAAACGAAAACCTCTATGTAACATTAAGAAGTAAACTTTTACGAAGCACTATCAGAGTTAGGATTCAACGTCACTTGAAGCTTACAAGACCACTATAAGTCAGCAATCCCAATTGTCACTGTTATCCTGGACGGATCGGCGAAAAAATATTCACACTTAATCGTCTTCTTCGTTATGTGATAACAGTAGAAAATCGGATAAACGAAAACTATTCCTCAATATCAAAACCACCAACGTTTTGACCTTTCAAAAAAAAATGCCTACAAACTACCTTCTAGATGCAAAACAACATCATTACTCTGAATGCATTAAAAATAAAAACAGTTCATCTACCTACGTCCTACCTAGTCAAGGACCTACGTGAACTACAGTGAAACTACAAAACAAATTATAAAGGTTGCAGAATTAATGAACACATCAAAAATCATGGTAAGTTCAAGCCTCACGGAAAACCTCAGCAACCTGTTCTCAAGTCTCAAAAACATAACGTGTCTCGACTCAATATTAGATCCCAAATAAATAAATCACTAAGCAAATTTTACGTTCTGATGACACAGCAAATGACCAACAATAAAAAAAGGAGGACTGGCTTGCGCGCCAGTTTAATAAAAATAAATAAATCTCAATAGCTTAGATTGTATAATATTTAAATATGCTTGCGACAACAATATATGTATAATAATAATAACACAGTTGGCTCTACGGTGGCGCAACTAAACTTTACAACAATAATAACATGACCCTGGCCCGTCGGTCGTTAATAATAATAATTGGTCGTGCACCGCTTACCTTTTACCTAACCCGACTGACGCAGTCTCCGGTAACTATGAACAACCTATGGGGAAAAACGAATTGAAGAAAAACTGTAAGCAAATGAGTAAAATTTACTGAAGACCATGGGCGCAACTAGAGCCCTAATATCGGGGGTGCGGAAATTGCTGAAAATAAAATTGAACGGTATTTCATTGTAATTACCATAGATTATATAGATCTGGAAAAAAAAAAACAAGAGTGCTACCATTGAACTTAGAAATAACTTTAATTAAAATAAAAGCACTAC